AAACATTTCATAACAAAGCATCACCTAATCTAAATTAAACTAATGCGATTTAACATGCTATACTATGCTCTACTCTACTATACGATACTACGCGATACTATACTGTACTATACTATGCTTTTCCACACTTCTTTATACTAGACTAGACTAGACTAGACTAGACTAGACTAGACTACACCATGATACTATACTGTACTATAACATGTTGCCACTATTTATATGTATGTATGTGTGTATGTATGCATACATACATACCTACATACATATATACACACACATACATAGATGTCATCAATATGACATTGTACTTCATTGTTGTTTTGAATATTAAGATTACTACCGTTGTCATCAGTCGATTAGCCTCATGGGGCCGGAGACTAGCGGAGGTCGGTTGGCTCACTATGCCGCCTGAGGGTCTGCAGGTACTGAAGGACTGCCGAGGGCCCAGATTTGACAGCTGCCTGAAGCCGCCAGATGATTTCATAGAGGCGCCAGAAAGGCTTCAAACGATTTTCAATGTAAGTCCAAGCCATTGCAATAATGACTTGGAGAATCATCAAGATGACTATGGCCAAGTACAGCTTGTCTTTGACCGCGTCAAAAACACCCTCACGTAGCATGTAGGATCCGCATGCAGTTGCCGCTATAACGATCAGGAACAGTCGCACGACGGTCTTATGTGTTGCATTGCAGCAAAACCGTTCGGTCATCTGTCTCTTGCAGTCGGAGAAATCAGGAGCACGCTCACGCTCCCTGACATGTATCCAGCGACGGTTGCTCGTCTCGATATACTTCTTGCGCAAGAAGAAAACAAAAAGGTGCTTCAAGTACATCAGAATGTAGATGCACGTGAGGATTGAGGCGACAAGAAGCGTCAAAGGTAAAGGCTCCCCGAAGTCGATGCCTTGCAAGCTGAAGCTTCTGGGCCTGCCATGAAGCGACGCGGACAGTTTCAGCAGCTCCCTGGACAGAGCACCTTTAAGCTGGGAATTCTCCAGGCGAAGGTGCAGGTCACTCCCGCGGATGTCTGCGTCCTGCTGCAGCTGGGACCAGGAAGGTGACCAGGGCACTTCTGGAGCTCTTCTGGTCATCGCAGTCTGCAGCAAGTGCATGCTACATGCGTCATCATGCATGCCAGGCAGAATCCAGGACGTCTGCAGCGCAGGCCGCATTTCCTTTTGCATTCCGTCTCGGAACATATGAAAGCGGCAGAGGAAGGGTTGTTCATCCTGCCAGTTCTTGAGCCATTGAGCAGGAGCCGGGGGTTTTCGAGAACTGTACAAGACTCGGCTTGTCCCGAATCTGACACACTAGCAACACATCGCATCCAAGAACCCCTTCCATGGGTCCTAAGCCCAACTAGCGGCAAGACCAAAACTCCCCCAAACTTGCACCCTGCATCCCAAATTCTGTACTCCAAAATGCAAACTACAATGTTTGAAGAGAGGGTTGTCGGACCCGAATCGAAAGCTAACATCAGGTTTACCATACATCCGGCTTTCAAGAAGACCAGGCAACTCCTGTCTGCAAAGGCCGAGGTCGAGATTTGGGTTGGGGGGGGACAGGGCTTGGAAAAAACTGGAGGTGATACGAAGCGACAAGGTACATATGAAGTTTCTTCTCATAACATGTGCGTGCCGTGCGCAATTTTATCCCCATATCCACTTCAAGCGGCCGTGCCACTGCCCGTACTCTTCTCAAAGTCAACTCGCTTGCTGTCAAATCGCAAGGAAGTTGTTCGATCAGAGGGTATCGTTTTTGAATACATATCTCAACAACGATCCAAACCTGATCCAGTGCCTCGACAGCGAGACTGCTTTCTAGCAGCCCCAAGCGCTGGAAATACTGGCGCTGGGGTCCTTACTAGAAGGAAAATCAAAAGCCGAACAAGAATTGAAACTTTCAAAACCTCCAAACAACGCAAGCTTAATTAAGTGTCTCAAGCCCTAAACCCCAAACCTAAGACCGCACGCCACAAATCATGAGAAGTGGCCTGGCATCGGTACCTTCCGATTGCTTGCGTGGCCTCGGCTGAATAGCAGCTTGGATTCCTCGTAGCCTCGTGCCTCTGGGTTAGGGTGAAGGGAATCAGGGGAACCTTATTTAAGGGAGGGTCCCGGCGATCAATGAGGATCCCAGTGCTTACTTGGCATCAACACCAGTGCCATCTAGGGCCCCGTAATTTTTATGAAACACGGCTGGCTTTTGGGGCGTTATTCGGGTTTCCTGGGCAGTGGTGGAGGTGAGGTTGTGCGCGAGCCAGCAGATTGGGATGCAGTCTCACAGAGTGTTGCCACACACCAAGATGGTCACGCCGCACTCTTCCCAGAACTGCTTTTCCAAACATGGTAGCCTTCGACACGGATGCCAGCAGACATCCGTGGAGACGAAGAACCTATACGCACTGATGAGAACATGTCATTGGAATTTCTTGGAATTTCTCGAATTAGCACACCTAGCCTTCGCCTGTGTCGGCTCCGCAGGTGCGGTGCCGAAGACACTCCAAACCCAAGAGCTAGCAGGAACAGCAAGAAGAAGGTGTAGTGGTAGTGAGACCGCTGTGAACCGCCGACATCCCGCTAAGGCCACGCCTCCGCACCAGCGGGACAGGAGCAGCTGGCGGCTGCAGCATGGCCTCAGCAGCACTCGAGGCCTGTAAACAGGCTCAGGCTTTCAACGCTTTGAGCAGCAATCCGGGGCTAGAAAGATCGTGCACACTGGCAGCTGCGAGTTGTAGCCCCATCTTGCATCCGGATCACCCCAAAGCCACCCGAAATCTTGAGAAGCAGAATCCCACCTCAGCTTCAAATCGAAACTAACTGAACAAGAAGCTGAGCCTAACATGCCCAAGCCAGGCATCAACGGGCTTTCAGCTTCAAGAACCAGAGGCCCCGGGCATCGCCAGGTGGTGACGTCAGGTCGTCGTCTGCCAGGGAATATAAAGGCTTGCCCCAAGGGTCCAAGTACCTAACTATCATATATTCTGCCAAATAGTAACCTACATAACTACTATCCGAAACCTAAGTACCTGATTATTGGGTCCAAAGGGACTTGGGGTTGAACAGTGCTTGAACGGCCTTCCTGTTTCGGGTTTGTCATTTCGGTGTGATGTTGACTTCAGGAAAAACAGGACCCACTCCTTAATCTGCGTTAGATGGAAGTGTAAGGAGCGTCTCAAAATCTATGGATGAGAGGCTCTGGCTGGGCAATCCGGCTGATCTCGACGTGCCTTAAAGCCTTAGAGCCTGTTGCGCCCAGCTGAGCCCACCAAACAGCTAGTAAATTCCTTAACCACAAGACAGCCAGACACCGAATTATGACCGGCGCTGTCCCTCGTCAGGACAATAGCTAGTTTTGATATCGATAACTACAAGAGTTACAAGAGCCAAGGAATCGTCCGCCGTGTGTGGGCCTTGCAATCAACCACAGGCTCCTTCTCAACTTCTGCCTGACGCCTGCAACTCGCTATGTAAATTCCTGTCCGAACCTGGAGCTTCGCGCAGAGGAAATTTGTGAAACTCCAAACAAGCGCCCGCATACAATGCCGAGAGTTGGTGAGCGTTCCCTCAAAAACCAAGCCTAGAAAGCTGTAAACCATTGGTCCATGGTCGACCCGACAACTGAGACCTTCCAACATCCGAATCCCTCTGCTCATTTGAGCTTTGGTTTTTTAGCCCACTTCAGCATATCCAAGATGAACTATTTCCATGTTTAGTACGCATACATCTTCCCAAGAAGAAACCCTTTGCGCCTAGATCCGAAGGCCGCCTCTGCGTCCTTGGCGAAGTCGCGGTGGTGGGATAGACGAAAAGCCCCCATATCGCGGGTCGAAGCTTGAAAGGTTCACAGGGCTTCGGGCTGTGGCTGAGGGTCTCAGGATTGGTAGTTTAAGTTAGTTAGAGTATACCTTGCCCATTTAGGCTTTTGGCACCGCACATAGACCCCCCCACACACACCAAAACCCCATTTTCCACTCATTTTTCCCAACCGCTTTCTCCAACAGCATACCACTTCATCCCCCGCACCCCCGAATCACCAAATATTTTCTCAATCAACTTTCCGCCACTTTTTCCAACTTTTCAGACCTCTTTTACGCATTTTCAACCAGCCAACCACTTGCCCGAAAGCGTCCAAATCTTCAGCATCCAATTTTTCAACGAGCACACCAACAGCCCTCGCCTCCAAAAATCGCACCATTTTCCATTCAAAAACTCAACAGATTTTGCCACCTCCTTCACCAGCCCTGTAAGAACTGCACCCCAAAAGCATTGTTCCACGACATTTTCCATCAAAACCAGCCCACTTGCCCAGCAACAAGCATTGATCCACAGACTGATCCCACCACCCGAAAATAGGCAAAGCCCACCTCATAGAAAATGCTACCCTCCACCCCCACCCTAGGATAACATCTATCTTAAGATCTCAGCCCCAATGCTCGGATAATCCACCCCAAGGTCCCAAGTTACCATCCTAGGAATAATACTTACTTCTATCTCGGTGCCATACGCCTAAATAGGCGAGGGGTTTAGGCTGGGGGTTCAGGATTGCAAGCAGTGGTTCTCGATCACTTTTCACAGGAAGCGTAGCAACTAGAGCTTTGTGTCCCATTCGACGACGTATTGGCTTACGCCCACAGGAGATGTGCCTTCGTTCCACTCACCTTCCACATTCTGCATGATGCTGTAATTGCACGCAATCCCTTTCGGCGCAATGATGACCCAGCTGATATCTGAAACCATTTCCAGCTGTGGGAAAGCATTCTTCATGGCATTATGCATCGGCCCAATCTTGCTTTTTCGTTCTTTGTCACCTGCAACAACCAAAGTCTGTATGTAATTGGTGCAGACGTCTTCTCCGTGGCAAAAAAAGCATCTGCTGCTAGGAAATTCTTCGAGATCGGGATATACAACTGATTTGTACTCAGTTGTAGCTGGGCAAGTGGCGCCGCGCCTTTCGTCTGCATCATCAACCTGTGGTTTGGAACATCACACGCCACTCCCTTAGTCGAAGCTAGGGGTCTGCATTGAAGCTTCAATGGTTTCTCTCCATCCATTGTCAAGCGCCCCATCACCAGGCGCTGAAAGACATTTCCGACCAAGATGCTCAGCTCTTTCATGCATGTGAAGAAACTTGTCGACGAAACGGCGTTGGTCTTCTGCACTTGTGATCTGGAGTTTGTTGCAGATTTCTTCCCTGGCAGCCTCCGAATCGATAAGTTGCACCCTGGGCGTGCTGAAACTGTCAGAGTGGTCTGCATCAATTTGCATTATAGAACTTGCCAAGCTCTCCTTCGTATCTGCCTTGCCACTGGGAAGAGATCGCACCAACCTCTCCAACGATTCAAATGTGTCCAAGTGCTGGATGCACTCACGTATCAGCTCTCGGGCGGCTTCATCTGGCGTCTTGCCCTCTCCTACAAGCTGGAAAAAGCGCCTCAACCATCGCACACTTCCACCAAGAAGATCATGGGCATTCTGCACACTTTCCTTGCTCTGACCTTTGAACAGAGTCACTCGCTGCGACTCAAGTTCGTTTTTTGACCAGATTGGCTGGTACAGGCGCTTCGCATGTTCCGCAGACTGACTGAAGGCGCTGTGGTAGGGCTTCATGCGCAAGGAAATGAACACCATCGTGCATCCTTGTGTCCGATGCTTCACATCATCTGTGGTCTGGCCGCCAACGGGATCTATCAGCAGGACGGTCGAGGACTTCTGCAGCATCTGCGGCTCTTCCTTGTGTTTGAGAAGTGTAGTTCCTGCGAATGACGAGGTCATACTCATTGGCCAAGTACACAGCTATATAGCCCAACAGCACTGATTTGCCAATGCCTGGAGTGCCAGTGATGACACACAACCCCCGCGGAGTTTCCAATTCAAACTTTTCTTTCAACCAGCCTGTGAGTATTGCACGTATCTGTACATAGCAAGTGCGCAAAACGAGGACCTTTTGCATGTAGCCATCGCCCAGGATGTCTGTCTTGAAGCTGTATACAGAGTTGGCCTCCCAGTCTTTGGGTTTCTGTCCAAGTGCCTCCTCCATCCACTGGCAAAGTGGGTCTTCATCCTGAACGGATTCAGCCTCGTGTGCCATGAAATCAGCCCCCCAACCCAACAACTAAACTCAACCCACCAGCCTAGGACTAAAACAAAAGAACAACTCAACCCCCTAAACCCAACTAAGCAACCCAATCAACTAACCCAATCGGGCAACGCTACGAGGAAACCAAACCTAGGGGGAATAAACAACTACGCTACAACCAAAGAGCCAACCCCTAAACCCAATAAGTAAGGTAATCAACTAAGCCTATCGGGGAAGCTTACGAGTAAAATATGCTATATCGGTAGAGGAGCTGCCGCTGGTTCTGGGTGAATACGTCTGTAAAGGCTGCGCGAGACTTTGTTCAAGAACAACTTATCACGGGTGCCTCCCACCATGTTTGACATGATATCATCACACGATGCCTCGGAGAGTGAGGTCACTGTATACCCGCTCAGAGTTGGTGCCAAATCATCTGCGGCGCTCTGGCTGTAGAGGTCCACTATCTGCGCTTTTGCCCATTCTGCCGCAGGAACTTTCTCTTCGTCAATCTCGGAAAGCTTCTGTCGTTTCAGAGGACGATCTGCCATCCCCCCTAATGAATACAAGAACGAATAGATCGTTTACATGCCTTGATTGCCAAGTAATGACAAAGGACTGTTGCTTGCGCGTATCATACAACAACATCAGCATAACACAATGTAAGCGTGCATCAATAAACCTTGAACCACGGATCAAAGAAAAATACCACCTAGAGTATACTTTCTCACAAATTCAGAAAGATGTCAAGTCGCTAACCCGTTATCAACTAAACAAGAAAGTCGCAAACCTCCACTTGGCTCAGTTGTAAGATGCGTTACGAGTCGCAACTTTAAGCTGCAAGTAGCACAACAACTATCAACAAAACCCCCACAACTTCAAAAATAAACTCAACACGCTACAGTTTTAACGACTCAAATCGCAAATACGCCCTATCAATACCTTCAACATAGTAATATTTTTGACCCCACTTTTCATCAATTCTTTCTATGGTATAAACATTTTGGCTAAAATTGCCCACTCTCTCTTTTTCATTCGGTTTCCTTTTCCTAAATATTTTAACTTCATCACCAACACTTAATTCAGGATATAACCGATTTCGTTTAGCATTCATATTTAAATGCAGTTTAACTTTTAATTCGTTGCTCGGTTGTCTGGCATCCTTTGGGGCGAAGCCAGTTGCCGAATGCTTCATTTTATTGTTATATGTTAATAATATTTCAAAAATGTAATCAGTCCACTGAATATTGTTCTTACCCTGTTTCTGATCGGCTTCAACTCTACGATATAATAAATCTTTGAACGTCCTAATAGCTCTCTCGCTAAAATTTGGATGCGCCCTAGTCCTGCGATGTTCTATGTTCTGTTCCTGTAAATATTTTTGTATTGCCTCCTTGTTCATTGCTCCCTCGTCGTCGGTATAAATTATTTTTGGCTTCTTTCCCATCTTGTTTAAGCACTCAATCATCCCACTCGCTAGATCTTCTTCTTTCTTGCCTTTAATTGCCACCACGTGCATAAACTTATCAAAAATATCAATCATTAACATCCCTACTCTAAATTTTTGATCTTTCAAGTCGTTGATAAAAAATAAATCCATCTGATACTCGTATGCTGAATGCGGGGCGACAAAGCTATTTGAACCGACGGGCTTACGCTTTTGATCAACATTCTTCCGAAAAAACTCGTTAATATCAGCCATTGTGATGGTTTTATCTTTCTCGCGCGCTTCTTCTAAAGTCCGGCTTCTACTGCCGAAACCCGCGCGATCAAAATACACATCATTAATATTTTTTTGTTTCTCACTCATATAAAAACAAAAGAAAATAATGACTTAAAAATTAAACTAACTCATCATTCGGACATCGGCATTATGATCTTGCAGTTCTTCATGTCATATTTTGCCGAATCGTGCTTGGGCTTCATCGGCTTCTTTGCATTCAATATTTCTGATAGCAATTCATCATTAATCTCCTCGGGCTTCAGTCTGATATTGTTAGCTTCTTCATACTCCTTGATCTTCTTTTTCTGGTTGTGTCTTTGTGCAGACTCCCGTTTCTTTTGCATGTATGCCTCGTCCTTGTTGCGCTTGTGATAATACAGTCTGTTGTATATAGCGAGTTGTTCTTTGATTTCTTCTATTGTCATATCCTCGGGCGTCTTGCTCATATTACTATACTATACTATATATATTATTTTTTTCTTTAGATGAATTTTCTTTAAAACAAATCTTCAGAAAAATTCATTTAAAGGGAAATTAAATATATAGTTTAATTATTAGTATATGTCCAAAGCCGTTAAGCGTAATACGGAAGCACTACAAACATTTTATAACAACAAGCGAAACCGCATCACCCAAGCCACCAGAACAAAGGTTCAAAATATAATTAACTTATATTCAGATCGTAAGATCGCCCAACTCACCACAGCAGACAATTTAATTAGGAAACTCACCACCGCAAAAACAGACAAAGAAAAAACTAAAGCGGAGAAAGACTACAACAAGATTTATGACAAACATAAGGATAAAGAACAACTAGGTCAGAGAATGGCACAAGCAAAAGAAGACAACAAACGAACGGGAAGAACCAACCCGAGGAAACCAAGAAAATATTCAATCCATGTCCATTTATACCAATTGAAGACTGAATCACACCAAGGATTATCAATATCCTTCAGAGACAGCAGGGGCAGGGCATACGTTCCTATTTATATGCGTGATCTATCAGCCAATGTAGCCACAACACCGTGGGTTGAAAACCTAGCGGGGAGACGAATATTTAGAGACGAGAAGCCCGATACAAAAACATTTCATAGGCTCAAGTTGTTATTAATGACAGATGACAGTTTTAAAGCAGATGTCGGTTATGCCGAAGGTTACATTGCTTGTATTAAAGTTAATTACGCAGAAAGGGTAGATAATGCCGACGCTTTCAAGCCACAAGACGAAGAACTAACAAACACGGAGAATGTCAGTATGTATCACAGATATATTCAGACACCCTTAGATCCACAGTATGAGACCTTTAAGGAAGCCATTAAAGTAGAACATTATGTTAAGAACGAGTGTTGGTTTAACAAGGATACCCTTATGGGAGACAAGAAGCGAGAGAAAAACAAACTAACAAAAGAAGCCATCCTAAAAATCATAAATAAGACGGAAGAAGATTTTAAAACAAAGCGGGCATCAATAGCAGACATGGCTAAGGTGTTTGAACATTTTAACTTGCAAGTAAAAATTTATGATGTCTTTGATACTCTGATTTATAAGCGTGACCCAATAAAAAGAAATCATAATATCCCAGCCTTATACGCTATATCTACACAGTCAGTGATAATATGAACATGTTGAGGCAGATGATACCCAAAAGCAGTAATTATAGTATATCTATTAAGGCATCTTCAGATTATCACCTTAACGAGAAGGAGGAGCCAGTGGAATGTAAAAGGATCACATCCCTAGACGACATCCGGAAATACACAGAGCATAGCGAATACACATTAGTTTATAATGGCTACGATCTGTCTCATCTCTTTTATCTTAGCAAACAGGCAGGGTATGAGCCACAGGTTAGGTTCAGCGCGGGGTTTGTATCTGAACTTAACTTCAAGTTTAAGATGAAGATAAACAACAAGAGCCACAAAGACATTAAATACAAGATTAAGGCCCAGAACTTAGTAAATAATTCTATTGATGGTTCCATCTGCGTGAGAACGGAGCAGATCTACAACAAGATGTCTAAAACGATGTTTAATTTTAACACCGCTCTCTTCAAGCCGACCCACAAGTCATATTATAACGAGATTGACGCTGAAACCTTCAAGGAGTGTCGCACCATCCCCCCAACGGGTGAAATAAATAAACGTTATTATCTATATAACCCTAAGACAGACAAAGACGACAAATACTGTTATACCCCAGAAGTGACTACCGAAATAGATGTAAGAAAAGCTTACACATCTGCGTTTAACAAGATCGCCGAAATACCGGCAGTTTGATATTAATTGTATAATCTTTGACGAGATCTATATGAATGGAACGCATATCCTAAATAGGATCAGAGAGTTTGTTAAGCGAAACCCGAATAAAATCATAATCGGAGCGGGTGATGTTAAACAGCTACCGCCAATTGAAGACCTAACTAATACAAGGAAGCCGGATGAATACGCAGACGAATGTATTAATCAGATCTTCAAGTATAATGTTCTGCTTACCATATGTAAGAGATTAGGACCACAAGGAGATCCAACAGCAGAAGGCAATAGAAAAATATTAGATATGATGTATGATGATATGTGGCTTCATAAGTTATCTTTATCCGAGTTTGTTCATAGATATTTTAACACAACAGACGATATCACAGCTTCACAGAAGAACATAGCCTATACGAATATGAGGTGCTTAACGGTGTCTAATGCACTCCGAAAGAGTTTAGGCAAAACCGATAAGTATGAAGTGGATAAGATCTTAATCTGCCGATTATATAAGAAAACGAATAACGTGAAGTTCAATGTTAATTACAGGTTTAGTAGTAGTGATATATCGGTGAAGTGTAGGGGGGAGTCTAGGAATGATCATCTAATGGGGAAGTAGTAGTGATATATCGGTGAAGTGTAGGGGGGAGTCTAGGAATAATCATCTAGTGGGTTGACGGTGGCATTATTACCCAAACTGGGCAAGGACCTCTCTGACTAAATAAGGTAC